TGAATGAGGTTTGAAATAGTGTTGTTTTCCGGCCTCCTACTTTTCATAGAGATTTTGTAATTATCTATCTCTACTATAGGACCAATCAAGCCTTGAGGCAGGGGCGGATGCGGGTGCCTTGGGTATAATGGCGCAAAGCTCTGACTCCCAGTTATAAAAAAAGAAAAGGAAAAAAAAGTATAGGTACCAATCAAAAAGTATACTTGTAACTCTTTTAACTTTCTCGTAAATTTCATTATTTTCATGAAATTTCAAGTTTCCTATTAAAGAAAATAGACAATATTTTGTGTATCTCAAACAAAAGCAGAAACATAGTTAGCTGAACTCTAGGTTGCACCTGAATACGCTCTCTTTCTGCATAGAGAAAGAACAAAGTGTACAAGGAGATGAATAGAAGACAGTGGCAGTGGAAGCAAGGGAGCAGTGATAAAAACAAATTTCAATATAGGGATATTTGAGAGAACATTGTATTCATTTTCATTATTCATTTTCATTAAATCAATGAGAAGTTCCTGCCTTRTTCAAAAAATATATATATATAAGGATATTTCAGTAATAAATCTTAATCAGTTTGAGAGATAACTAAAGACATCTAAGTGCGTCATTGAGAAGCTCCCATTTAAAAATTTTCTGAATAAAATAAAAGTTTCGTTTTTCTACCAAAATGACTACAGAATTACACCACTCTTCTTAACCAGTGCAAGGAAATGAACAAATAACATCTCACCTTCCATACTTGTATAAAACTACAAACAATGATAAGATATTCTTGTATTTCAAAAGGCACCAACAGAAGCAAGAGCACTATAGAGAGGAGATAGATTAAGATATTGATGCCTCAGTGAGTAAGCTTTACCTGAATGATAATTGCAGCTCTTGTTTGCCTCCTAAACTTAAGCTCTTTAAGAGCAACCATACCATGGATACCAGCTTGAATAGCTACAGCTGAAGAGCATAATTTTTTATAGCAACATCGGGCAAAATACCTTCGCCAATGCTTCTGGATTTTGATAGAAGCAGCTTCAATTCTCATTTTTTCATACTGCTGGCGTGCAACTTGTCCTGTTAATGGGAAAAAAATAAAAATAATTCCTATGAAAATACAACACAACTTAATAGCCATAATTTTTCTTTTTTCTTTTCTCATCTTTATTTTCCACCCATAATCTCTGAGCTTACTGTAGCACTTGGTTGCTGATTAGCTACTATGAATGAGCACAATGCATACAAGTTGATCAACTTCATACCTCTACACACGGCTTGAATTTGTACAGCAGACAACCGCAACAAAATAAATTTTTTGCGTCCCAAATATGAGCGAACCTTCTTTTGGATAACAATGGCAGCTCTTCCCAAGACCTCAGTTCGGCAACCATCTAATTGTGCCATCTGACCAGCTCTGAGAAAGACTTTGGTTTTACCAATCTGCCACAAAAATGAATCAGAAAATTATTCCTACAACTTCAATGAAAAATATTGCTCTCATCTAACACTCAATAAAACAGAAAATGCATTTATTTTTAATGCAATATGAGCAGTTGGAAAGTCAGGAAAGCCTGTGCAAGATTCTTCAAAGCTTCAATTCAAATTGTTCTTTTCCTCAAAGTTCATGGAAAGTTTAACCTTCCACCTTTTTGTGGTCCAGCTTTTATAAAGAAAGCAAAAATTTTGTGGTCCAACACAGTGAAATAGGTCTCCTATGGAAATTTTGGGAGGAAAGAAATCATATAACATTTAATGTTATTTTAGAAATCAGGAAGATACTTTCATTGATGTATGAAAAGGAAACAGAAATGTTCAAAATAGAAATCAGGAAGATACTTAGGATGTAGAAGAGTTTAGTGCTTCTACTTGGTGTGCTCTTTCTAAATTCTCCACAATTACCATACCTGATATCCTTTAAGGTTAACTTTCTCCAAAAGCCTCTTACACGCAGTGGATTCACCACAGCTATCAACAAGTCAAGTGAAAAGAGAGTTAATGAAAGCTTCTGAAATACCAAGCATCTAACATCACAATCTCAAGAAATGGCGTATAAGAATGAATCACTCTAATGCCTTTATTTATGTGCAAACTACCTTCCATGCAACACATCAGGTGCCAAGATTTTAAACCGAGCAATAAATTCATCAAACGTCTTCCTAGTGGGATATCCAGCGCAACTGATTCTGATTGCTTCCATGACTCCCTAAAGAAAATCTCTCTCAAGTTTGCATGTTTATAAGGAGTCATCATTGGACAAATAAGACTGGAAAATACAAACTTACTCCACATCGGAGCTGCTGTAAAACATTATTATTCTCAAAGATGGATGGTTTAAGAAGGTTGTTTGGCTTTACACAGCGTATGTAGTGTGGCTCAGTAGCATTTAGCGTCTCGAGCAAAGATTGAAGTTGTTGCTGGAAAGGTGAAAAAATGGAAATCAAACTAAGTATATAAAAAGATACGACGAGCTAAACCAAACAAATGCACTGTTCAATCAGAAACATACCTTAAATCGAGTCCCTATTGATGAGAACTTAGAGGATTTGGAAGAATCTTCAGGTAAGGGGGGGAAGAGCCCTGAAACAAAGGTGCACTTAGAAGCGCTCAACAGTGCTTGATGCTCCGCAACAACATAATCTTTGTTTTTGTCCAGGAAGAGTTCAGTTTGGTACGTAACCTAAAATAAATATGGCCTCCACACAGAGTTAACAAAAAGATCGACAAACTTATCTATTGCAAAAATTAAGGCAGGCACTTCTAAGGGCTTCAAGCGAACAAAACATCAATGATAAGAGTACTTACGTCACCAGCATAATGACAAATTGTGAAGTCAGTTCGTGCCAATTTAGGCTTACTAAAGCGCTTATGGTCCTTAAAAGTTTGATAAAGTTTCTGCGCAAAAGTTTCATGTGTGGATCTTGGAAACATGCTACAAAATGAAACAAAGGAAACTATCACCTTCCATTCCACACAAAAACATTTCTATCAACGGACTATCTCAGAATATTTGAAAAACCGATGACAACATTGCTACTTCATTGATTACGTACCAGGCCTCATCCAGAAGAGCAATGACACCACCAGGTTTCTGAAAGTAACAAACTTGATATTAGGGAAAATACTTAATGTTCACCATACTATCCAAAATGATTAATTGAAGCAATTGAAGAACTAGTATACCACTGAACAACTAGAGAATCTGTTGAACAAAACGCTTAAACTAACATTTAAAAGTTTAAAYGTTTAGGCTAGAAATAATAATCTACTTCTTAAATGACTATCCTTTATGAAAATGAGATGTTCTCATTGATATAGAGAAAAGTTTAGATACATAAGGACCTATGCTCGCCCATTAGGAGTTTTCGAAAAGGCACGATAATTAGAATTAATGGGGGTGGATTAGTTACAAAAGGAGTTCGATACAGAATACTAAAAAGAATATTGAAAATTATGACTAATAAGAGCGAAACCTTTTCTTTTTATAGGAAATGGAAAATTTTTAATTATAACCCTGTCCAAAAAAATTGTATTAAACAACCATAAGATACTCAGAGGAGAGGGCAAGAACATGTTTAACAAGATCTAGGGGAATATGTTTATATAGGAGAATAAGATCTAGGAATATTTTAGAAACAATTTTATAGAACCTGTAGAAAAAATTCAACCTAAGTCACGTAAAGAAAGGATTTTTTCTGCACCTTCTCAATGAGATCAAGAACATCCTGATTATCAATAAAGTCAATATAGCTCCAGTTAATTTCTTCTTTGGTATATTCTTCTTGCTCCATCTTGAACACATGCTGTAAATAACATTTTTCACGTTAAATTTCAAGATCCAGGAAAATAAAGGAACAAGGGTACGCAATTCCAGCTCCACCTGGTTGAAATGTTGCTGCAATTTCTCATTTGTCAGGTTGATACAGAATTGCTCAAAGCTGCATAGACCAATACATACTAAAAAACAAAGCCTAGAGATTTATTAAATATATATACATATATATATATATATGGAGTATCACAATATTAAATGAAAATCAAAACAACTAGAACCAAATGCATTCTAGATCAAGCATTCACAAAAGTTCGTTTCTTGTTAAAAAAATATATAGATTTGGAGGAAGTTTCAAAGGTCAATCAGATTTCTGGGACACAATTGGTGTACTCAAAGTTCTTCTGTAGTTATAATCGTCTTTTTATTAATGTTAATTACATTTTCTATTGGGGTAGGGGGGTTTAATCTCCTTCACCCCTGTGTGGCAGGAAAACTTTTCTTCCCCCTCACTTTTATCCCTCTCAATGGAATGGAACATTGTTTCCTACCTAATCAAATCATTGGTAGAAGAGAGAAAAAATATGATCCACTAATGAAAGGTAAACTGAAAACATCAAATGTATGTTATATGTTGCCAAACAAAAAATGCATGTGAAATGGTTTTATGGAATCTCATCCTCCACTAATGACGAAAGCAAAAGCGTACCAGTTAAGCACCTGTTTGTCTTGAAACTCTCGAATCCATAGATATCCAAAACCCCAATTAAGTGCTTTGAATGAGGATCTTGGCCAATTGAGTTATTAATCGTATCAACAATCCTGGGTTCATGAAGAGATGTTTAAAAAGGGTCTGCTTGGTGATGGAATCAACAATTGACAAATTTAAGTTAAAAAGCAATTTAAGAATCAAACACAAAACCTACCAATCAAATAGTCTTGAATAAACAATTTTTGCTAAAGCATCCCTACTAAGAGTAGCAGAGTCTGGATCGAGACATTTTGTTATGGTTTCATCACGTGTAACTATCACACGAGTACACATTGAATCCTCAAGAGACTTCTCATCACACCTGTTTTGAGGAAAAAAAAAAAAGAGAATACTAATTATAAGCCT